CTACATAGACAAATTGAGACAGAGCAGCGTGGATAGATTCCCGAACTAGAAACCCTACTTACGGATTCAAAGAATGAGGATTCGTAAACTTAGAAGATGATCATGTAGGAAGAAAGATCCTCTTAAAAGTTCGTAAGCAAAGCTCGTGTAGGAGCTCTTGCAAAATCACTTGAGAATTAAGTAAGATGAGAAAAAATAATTAATTGAGATTTTTACAATCGTTAGAGCATTTATATAGAAAATGACAAAACAAATATAAGGCCAAAGAAACTAATCCTTATCCTACGAATAATAGAAATCATAAACGATTTGATAATGATTAAACTAAAAGCCGTTAAAACCGTTAGTGACATGTCCAGTCACAATACTCCCTCTTTCATAACCTTCTTGGCCTCAAGGATGAAACTCTGGAAATTTTGCAATGAAATCTTGGTAAAACTACCATGTTGCTTGTTCAGGCGTCGAACCCTTCCATTGGACAAGCACTTTGGTTACCGGTTTGTTCTGCATATTCACCATTTTCTTCTCGAGAATATCTTCAGGTTCTTTGTCCCTACTAACATCATTTAGGTATTGTGGAAGCGTAGAAACTATGGTCAGAGGATTAGGACATAGCTTGAGTTGACTCACATGAAACACATTATGGATTGCAGAAGTTGGAGGTAGTCAGGTAGCTCAAGCTTACCAACTCGATCTTGGATTCGGAAAGGACCGTAGAAACGAGGGGAGAGCTTATGTGGCATGTTTCATCCTTTTAGAGAGTGTTGAAGATAAATTTGAAGCTTCAAGTACACTTAATTTCCAACCGTGAATCGAAATCAGAACGTCGAGAGCCAGCATACTGTTTCATCCAATTTTAAGCTCGTAAGAGATGAAACTTCATCATATCGATGAGGGCCTCACGTTTCTGAAGCCTCCTATCAATGGCTGGCGATGAACTTTCTCCAGGTAGGTAACATATATGAATCGGAGGTGTTTGTTCGTAAATGATCTCGAAGGGCGTACTATGAATGGCGGAGTGGTACGTGGTGTTAGACCACCATTCTACGAGGGGAATCCATGAGCTCTAAGAGTGAGGGCGAGTCAGAAACCATACAACGCAGGTATGTCTCCAAAGTCTTGTTAGTAGCTTCCATCTGACCATCAAATTGAGGATGATAGGCCGTAGAGAAGTTGAGATCAACACCGTGGGTACCAGATCACTACATCCCAATGGTACTGTTCTTGTTTCGTTTTTGAACTCATATGGCCTAAGGTGGAAAGCCATTGAACACCCAGTACCAGTCAAGAAAGTCCTAAAGGATATGGCCTAAGGTGGAAAGCCATTGAACACCCAGTACCAGATCACTACATCCCAACGGTACTGTTCTTGTTTCGTTTTTGAACTCATATCCCTGCATCTTCCGCACAAAATAATTTCACTTTTAGTTAGTAATTAAGTCACCACTAGCTGCAACAATTGACATTGGTTTGATTGGTATCAAAGGACAACCCAATCCATTGGCGGTTTGCAGATCAAGAAAATTGTGTGTGCTGTCGGAATCGATTAGTATGTGCAGTTTTCGCTTTCCGTACTTTGCCATTAAGCGCATACAATTGAATGTTGGATAGCCATTTAAGGCATGTACAGAAATAGTGGGCACCTTATCGTCTTGATCTTTGATGGTGGTCTCGCGAATTTGTTCCTCCAAGGAGATTTCTTCATCAAACTTTGTTGGATCACCTACGAGAGGTAAAAACTCGGAACGCCAACACTTAAGTTGGTGACCAGATGTGAAAGATTCTTCGCAATACACATAGACCCTTACGCTTTCGTTCTTGCATCTCTTCGAAGGAAACGCGTTTCTGAGGTGCGTTAGGGAGTTTGTTACTTTGTTTCACCGTGGTGGAAGTTGCAGTCGGTGTTGTGTTGATGTGTTAGTTCTTATTATATGTTAAGTTTGATTGTTGAGACGGGTTGAAGGTTGATCTAGGTATTTTGATCTTGGTGCCATTGTAGAGCTTTGCCCGTCATATGTAGAGAGGTGAGACGAACCTTCAGTTCTGGTGGAGTACTGTCAGTTGAGAAGAATTTCTTGCAACAATAAATCCATTCTCGAAGTACTGAATCATCAAACATTGGAAATCAAATTTTTGTCAATCGAGATGACAAGACATGGGGAAGGGTTTGGTTTTGGTTTTGGTTTTGGTTTTGGTTTTGGTTTTGGTTTTAGTTTTGGTTTTGGTTTTGGTTTTGGTTTTGGTTTTGGTTTTGGTTTTTGGACGGGTCAAGGTTTCGTTGGTATGTTCTTGTCGCGCTCTGTTCTGGTGATAAATGATCCGGTGGGTCTAGTCGGTGCTTTGTTTCTGCAGCGGTAAGATCAGAAGAGGTTTCCTTTCCTTCTCGTTGATTAAAAGGTGGGGAGTTGGCGAAGTATTTCTCTATTATATCTCGGAGAGCTGAGATCTCTCCACCTAGATCCTTGTGAATCTCTTCACTTTGTTGAGTTTGTGAAGCACGCAGATCTTCGATTTGTTTGTTCATGTCGTTCAAAGGTGTGGTTTGCCTGGTGTCCATAACCGAGATCTGAGGATTGTTAGCTCTGATACCACTGAAACGGTAGCAGGAAGGATAGATTCCGAACTAGAAGCCATACTTTCGATTTGAAGAATGGGGATAAGTAAACTTAGAAGATGATCGTATAGAAAGAAAGATCCATTCGTAATCAAAGCTCGTGTAGGAGCTCTTACAAGATAACTTGAGAATTAAGTAAGATGAAAAATATAGTTTATTGAGGTTGTGTGTTCTCTTTACAATCGTAAGAGCACTTATATAGCAAAACCAAAAGAAAGATAAGGCTAAAGAAACTAATCCTTATCTTACGTAGAATAGAAATCGTAAACTAACTTGATAATGATTAAACTAAAAGCCCCAAAAACCATTAGTGATGTGTTCTGTCACACAAATCTTTCGATCTGCAGACACCATATTCCATATTCTTGATAGGCAAACTAAAGACAAAATCCTCTCCTTCAGAGACAAACTGTCAGCGAATTCATCAAGGCTCGTACAGCGGTGGTTGATCTAAGATTCTAACTGGACCGTCTCCATCACCTTTCCTCGCTTACGATCCCATCATCTTCCTCGTCGTGATCACCACCTCTCAACTTTTTTGTTTTTTAGGGTATTGGGTTTCACAACTCTTGTTTCTCTAATGTTTGTTTTTAACAAACTGGATTACAAAATATTCGTTTATTGAGTTTCAAAACACTAGCTATTGCATGTAATCTTTTTATTTCCTTGTCCAATTTTAATATGAAACCTATGTTTCAAAAAAAAAATTCAATTTTTTAAAAGAAATTCTAAAAAGCAGATTGTTTCAACTTTTCACCTAAAATCCACGTCAACATACAGCAAAGGTGAATACGTAAACCGGTTTAAGAGCATCTCCAATGTAAAACTTTATTTTTTCCTCTAAAATAGAGTAAACGAGAATATGGAGTAAAAATGCTCCAACCTCACTCCATTTTGCACTCCATAATGGAGTGATGAACAAAAAAAAAACAGATTACTCCATTTATAGAGTAAAACTCTATTATAGAGTAAAAATGAAGTATGATTGGAGTGTTTTCTACTTCATATTCCCTTTTACTGTATTTTAGAGTAAAAATGGAGTTGAGTTGGAGATGGCATAATAGGCGGACTAGTTAGTGAATGTTTGAGTGTAAGGCCTCACCAAACCATTCCGATTATATTACAATTCAAGCCTCCTATCATATTCCCATCAAAAAGTATACTACTTTATATAAAATTATTATGAGCATATTCGGACCCTACGATTTGTATTAATTTTATGTTTCATTTGCATCATTACTCTCTACCAACAATCTTATATATTAAAACAGAAGTCATTACTTGACTTCATGTGTGATTTTTTTAAAAATGGACTATTACTATAAGAACATGTTACATTAACTTTCTAATAATCTTATCATTATTATATCTTATGAAAAATCATATCTATAATAAAAAAGATACGCTTAACAATTTGATTTTGGTCAATTACCCCACACCTTCCAACTTAGTCACGCAAAATATGTCAATAGATATAAGTTTAGTAATCTTCTATTATTTATAAGGAAATATGTCAATAATAGTTAAATGCATCCACAATATATTAACAAAAATCACAGAATCGTAATATGGAATATTTATATACCCTAACAAAATTTACACGCTATATATACTAGATAAATCTATTTTGATGTAAATTTTTAAAATTATATTGTTTAAAAAAAAAAGAAATTGTTTAAAAAGTTCTTTTTAATAAATTATTTATAATTAATTTATGAAGCTATAAGTTTAGTTTTTAGCAAAAAATTCTTTGAAGTTTATATTATCTTTGCAAAATTAAAGTATACTAATATTTAATCAAGCTCTATTTATATTACTTTATCTAAAAAAGAAATATTAATCTAACAAACAATAAAATATAGAAGAAGAAACAAACACATGTTTGAAAAACATGTATAATATAGAAAATTTGAAACAATCTATTTGATTAAAACACGTATTATATAATATTATTATGTTTGAAAAACATTTACTATACATATCGTAAATATGTGGTTACTATAATATATACCAATTTACAAGTGAAAACAAAATGTTTATATAACTAACTATAAACGAAAACAAACATCCGCGCGGTTGCGCGGGTCAAAATCTAGTATATTATTATATTCCATTACCTTTAAAACTTTTTTCTTTTGGGTTTTTAACGAGGCCTTTTTCGAGTTGAAGAAATTAAAGTTTAGACATTGCTGCTAAGAAATTTTAAATAAGTATTTCATAAACTCAATAGCGAAGCCTACTGAGTTACTGTCTTCTATGTAGTCACAGTATTATTGGTGAATACGAAGTAGTAAATTTATTACAGAAAGTCATAGACACAAAAGAACAAGACTAGTCCTCCATTCAATTCAACGTCAGTCGATGTACAATTAACGCCGTCAAAGTTCTAAACGTTCACACTGCATTTAGTAACCAACGTATATTTAACGGCGCTATCACCGACAACAACACCACCAGCTTTGTTTCCAAGATTGATGTAAGCCGGACACCGAACATGTATATGGTACTTCCCAGTGATCAACGTCCCTACTTTCCACCTCACGCGCCCATCAGCGCGTATAATTAACCCGACGAACCCACGTCCTTGCTCCTCTCCTAACGCGACGGAGTTGTAAGGAGCGATTGGAACAGCGGTTCCGTAAACAAACGGAGACCAGATGTTGTCTTCTTTGTGGCCTTGATACGTCGGAGGAATCGCTGTCCGGAGAGTTATCTGCTGGTTCCTGTAAGTAGCGTAGACGTGGAGACGGTCGTAGTAGATTCCGATCTTGGAGTTTGGATTACGAGATGCGAGTGTGACTTGGAAGTTTGTGGTGAGTAGGTTTGGTTGTGAGAGGTTGAAGGCGAAGACGGTGGCGTCTTGGAGGACGAATCTTGGCTTAGTGGGCCTGAGTATGACCCAAACTAGGAAGATGGTCACTAGAGCTACTATGATGAAGGCTATTACGGCGGCGCAGATTCTCCGGACGGCTGCTTCTTTGCCGCCACCGTGATTACCGCAATCCTTTGACATCTTTTATCAACGGTTCTGCCACTGGTGTGTGTGTGCCTTTTTCTCCCTCTATGTATGATCTCTTTCTTCCTTTTTGTTTTGGTCGTGACTAGTGATGATGGGAGGAAATGAATGTGTATAAGAAAGATGGTTGTGTATATTTATTTATATTCTAAAGTGTATGTAATAAATGCATATGTACTATGCGCGTTGTGTGTAACTTTAAATTAGCTTCATTTACAATTCCTATATAATCTTTTTCAATAAATTATTTCGCTATTTTTCTTTTGTAGCAAAAGTACCTTTGTAGTAATTTCACTATACGTGTGAAGTAAGAAAGGAAATGATTAGAAACATGCGTATGCTAAAAAGGAATAAGAAAAATCTCTACAAAATAAATAACAAATAAATGTGAATATTATGCATAATATAATAGTTTGTTGAGATTAGTGGATTTTTTTTTTCATCTGGCGCGTCATTTAATTTTATTTAGTTGCGATGATGAATGATTCTGTTGAAATACAACGGTCTATTTTCTTGTTATATTGTTTTGGCATGGTTATTTTAATCGAAACAAGAACATGGCACATGTGCATATATGATTAGTTCGTTTAAGCAAAAAAAAATTAATTGGAACAAATATCGGATTTCCTTCTAAAAAATAACATTTTATCAGATTTTGTGGTATATATACAAAGTAGAATAAAATATATATAGCTCGAAAAATTATTTTAAAATTAAGTTTTTTACACACGTATATTCATAGTGGATAATATCAGTTTAAATGTAGACGATCATTTCAGTTCTTCTCGAGTACATATTTCACTTCTGGCTTTAACTAACTAGACTTTAGAAGAATAAACACATGTAATGCTTGAACAAAAAAAAAACACATGTAATGTAATCTTAATATAAACCGTTGTTTACTCTACTTGGCTCCTCCTAGCCCAGCTAAACAGTTGATCGATGGCCAACTCTTTCTACTTAACAAGAGTGCATGCATGCAATGTTGCCCAAAAAATAAAGCGCAAGTCGTTTGACAAATCAAATACTGACATGTGGAAATGTTCAAAAACAATTAAAATAAAAGTAAATATTAACTACCCACATCCTATTCTTTTTTCCATAAATTTTAAGCTACGCTGATATATTTTTCCATGTTTTTTTCATATCCTATATAAATCAATTGTGAGAGAAGTGATGTTATCAAAAAAAAAAATAGATTTTTAGTATTTAGATCCTAGATTTTCTCAAACCCCCCACAATCACTTTAACTTCATATGTAACTCCTAAATCCTGGCACAAAATCAAACAGTTTCAACTTCTATATATTTGCTTTTCTCTTTCTTCTTCTCTATGTTTCATTATTCTTCATCATATTTTTCTTCCAATTTTCAGCGTATCAGCAAAAATCAATAGAGGTTTGTGGGGAAAATGACCAATTAATTCCTCAAGTTTTTAAAATTGACACTTTTATTCCCCAACTATTGGGTAAGCAAAATAATTCCTCAAGTATTAATTGACTTAACAAAATTAAATCCATCATAAGTCCACGTTTAGTAGTTAACAGAAACGTTATAATCTAATTATTTTTCCCTCTTTTACGTCATCTTCTTCCTCTAAATCTAATAACAAGAACCCTAATTTCATTTAGAAAACAGAGAGATATCTTGTGAATCTTGATGAAACTACTAAAAACAATCCAGTATGTGTGAACAATAATAAAAAACATTCCAGCGTGTGAACAATAATAAATTAATAAAGTTAAGTTTTTTCATATTGATACTCTGTTTTATTCTCCTAAAATTTATGAACACCATAACTTTGATTATCAGAAACTTCTGATATTGATACTCAGAAAATTGTGCTATACTTGTGATATTGATTATCAGAAACTTCTGATATTGATATTGACTATCAGAAGATAGTGATATTGATTATCAGAAGATTGTGACTGATTTTGACTGATTTTAACGTAGAAACACTAACAAAACTGAGCTAAAAAAAATCAAAGATGAAGCGTCTTGTTCTTGCTTTGTGTTTTTGTATTCTGGTAGTTGTAATCGTGTGCCACCTCACCTGGTGTTGTGCTTTCTGTTTTTATGCTTGTTGTATGTTTTATAAATGTAAGACCTTTGAGTTTATTTATGTAAGACCTTTTCAGATTACTTAAGATGAATATTAGATCTTTATAGAGTATAGTAGATAAAAGATAGATGAAATAAGTGCATTGCAAAACATAAAACTGAAAGTTGCATGATATAAGGTCAGACAATTGTATCCAAGCAAAAAATGAGAAAGCAACTAAGATAAAAAAAAAGAACTGAATTGAAAGAGAGTTTGTGTTCAACCATCTTGAAGTTTAGGTAGAGAAACCAAATATGCCTTGAGAAGAACTTGGTTGAGAAGCTTGACCAGATCCAGCTTGTGAGGAACCAGCCTCCAATGATTCTCCCTAGAAAGAGACAAAGCAATTCAACCACAGGAACAATAAAAAAAACAATCAACACAATTATAAACAAAAGTTAACAAACCTGATACTTTCTTGGCCGGCCTCTTGGGCGTTTTGCAGGAGGAGGTGCACTCTGATTAGGACATCTTGTCTTGTTGTGTCCTTCTTTTTTGCATCTGGAACATGTTCCAACACGACCATGGCGAGTTAATTTGTTCTTGTTAGTTGTAGACTCATGAGGACCTTTCTTCCTCGCATAGTTATTAGGTCGTCCCTTGTTTCCTCGAGATGGTGGAGGTAAAATAGGTAACCGATACAACCTTTTCCAAAGCTTCATGCCTTGGACTGGTTCCATTCCCTTTGCATACAGCTGTCTCCACTTGGATGTCAAGTAGTACTCAGAGATATAATCATCGAGATTTAGTTTTGTTGCTGTAATCACACACATAGCATGCATGCAAGGGATGCCATTCAACTGCTAGTATCCACATCCACAAGTACTCGACTTCATATCAACACGATGAGCATCACCTTGATAGTCAATCTCGTGCACATCTCCAACGGTCCTGTATCTTATGCAGTCCTTTGCCTTTTGCCTATTTTTTTCAATCTCTAAATCTGCTTTTGGTGTGTACCTCTTCTTCCACCTATTAGTTACGATATTTCTACCAGCATTTCTCTCCATGCATTTTCTCCTCACATCGGTTAAGAAATCTATCATTGGTTTCCTTCTAGGCTCTCTAACATTTCTATTAAAAGACTCAGACAAGTTGTTTAGGTTGTCGTTGCAGCAAGAACCCAGTTTAAAGAAAGCTCGAGACCATGCTTTTGGTTGAGTAGCTAACAGTGAATCATACGCACCTTGATTGTATTTCTTCATAGCTTCTAAGTTATCTTCAAAAACCTCTTCGGTATAGCTACGAGCTATCTTCCAGAACATACGCTCAAACTGTATATCTTTGTTACTCTTCTTCCAGTTCTCGAGAATGTGTCTAGCACACATTCTGTGCTCAGCTTTTGGAAGTTCATCGTGAACCGCATTCATAAGACCCTATAACAAACACAACAAACACTCATGAAAATACATATTGATTATTAAAACAAGAACTCATGAAACATTTACCTTTTGCTTATCCGAGATGATTGTTAAGTTTGTTCCATCTTCAAGTCCAATGTCTTTTTTCAGAAGCTGAACAAACCATGACCAATTTGGTCCATCTTCCACCTCAACCACTGCCCACGCAATAGGAAAGATTCGGTTATCACCATCTCTACCCACTGCAGCTAACATTTGACCTTTGATATCCCATTTCATGAATGCAGCATCTAATCCTATTATTGGTCTACATGATAGCTTCCATGCTTCTTTTAGTGCAGCAAAACACACATACAACCGATTGAATCTTTGTAAACTACCAGGTACTGGCCCGGGGATTGTCTCAATCTCCATAGTAGATCCTTCATTAGACTTGCGTATCTCTTCTTGATAGTCCCATAATCTAGCAAATTGAGCCTCATGACTCGCCTTCCTCTTATTTTCAAGATTCTTCTTTGCTCTTCTACACTGATGAACGCTAACAATCATGTTGTATTCCCTCTTAATTTCAGCTTCCATCTCCTTTGGTTTAATTTTGGGATTAACTCTTAGCCGTTCTTCATACAACTGACCAATAGTACCACTCTTCAATAGCATAGTGTAACCTGACCTTACACAAATATGTTCATTGATAAACACCTTCACCATCAGCTTGTTTCTTCCTTTTTCAAATGAGCAGTAAACTCTCCATGGACACTTGTCTCCCATGTATTGAGTACACCTCGCACCAAGCCTGTCGGATGATGATTTGTACATTGTGATATATATTGTGTCTTCAGAGAATATCTGAGAAGTGCGTACTTGAATTCATCGGCATTGTTGAATGTTTTCCCTAATGCTAAGAGATCATCAGCTGTTTCTGCATGATTAAATGCAACACCCTCTGCTTCTTCTGCATCTGAATCTGATAATGGGTCTGGAATAGCATCGTCGTCCCAAAGATCAAACCCACCATCTTCATCCAAGTTCTCATTATCATCTTCCCTAGCAACATCTCCAAAGTGTTTTTCTAAGTTCTCGCATACTCTCACTTCGACCAGTTCATGCTCGCTCTCTTCTTCTACATCAGCCATATCCACTGTCTCTTTGTATCCTGTTGTATCTTCGACAACAACTTCGCAATCATCCCCCTGGACACTTTCACTACCATCTGATTCTAAAATCCCACCTTCACTCTCAGCAGCTTCTGTATCAATTAATCTACAAAGAATATAATCAAAATCAAAATCACAAGAAGAAACAACAAAGCAAGCTTTACACACAGACAAAATCAAATACCTTTCGGCCTCTGTTACTGGTTCTGAGATGAGATTTTTCATGGGTTCTGATACGGAATCTGGGACAGAGATTGTTGCTGGTGTACCCTTGTTTGCAGGTTTTTCGACGGTTGCTTTATCCTTCTCAGGCTGCCGGAATGGAATTTTTAGTCGCTTCATCAAGATTCACAAGACATCTCTCTCTAATTAATTTCTA